CTGCATGAGGGCCTGGATGCGCACCAGCAGGTTGCCGACCTCCTTGGCCTCCTGGCGGAGCCGCCTCAGCTGCCGCTTGGCCGCCTTGACGCGCCACCGACGTTGGAACACACACGCGGCCGCCCGCAGCTGGACGTAGTGGGCACGCTGCTTGCTCATCTTCCAGGAGGCCTGGATGACGGACGCGGCGCAGTGGACCCTCCAGTTGGCGGCGAGCTCGCGGCCTTTGATGCCGCGCCACCACGACTGAATCAACACGATCTTGAACAAGGTGCTGCACACAACGGACACCACACCATTTTCTGTCTGTCTGTCTGTCTTGGTGGAGCAGGGCCGCTCATCTCACCGCTGGTATCTGATTCGTTGGACGAACCCCCTGGCGACCCTCTGGATCACCCGCACGGCCCTGTCCTGCCGCCTCCTCTGCGCCTCCATCCGTGCGATCTTGCCGCGCATGAGCGCCTGGATCTGCAGGACGCAGCACTGCAGGTAGACGTAGGACCGCCGCTCCCGGCGGCCCTTGAACACCGCCTGGATCTTGACGGCACACGCCGAACGCAGCTTCAGACGCGCACTCTGCAGCGCCTCAAACGCCTCCTGCCTGCAATCAACGGGTACGAGAAAGGGTATTGGGTCTCTCTTTGTCTGTCTGTCTGTCTGTCTGTGTGTATACTTGAGGAAGCATAGCGTCTTGCCGACTGCCCAGCTGTAGGCCGAGTGCTGGACTTTGGGGATTGGGAGGTCTTCCTCCAGGTGCTCCAGCAGCTTGTGCGCACGAGTGCGGGCGTCCATGTCGGCCGTCAGCGAGCGCAGCATCTGACAGAGAGAGGGAGAAACAAGGAAGGGCGTCTGTTGTCCCTGCTGCTTGTGTGTGTGTATCTGCTGGTATGATGTGTGCTAACCGACCGCATGTTTGGCGAGGACTTTGTAGTCGTCGAAGCAGTCTCGGTGTGGGAAGCGCACCGGGTAGCCCGCACGGCTCACCTGCACCGCCTGCAACACGCCGCCGTACCTGCACACACACACACACACACACTCACACCTCCAGTCCCACTGTCCCTGTCTGTCTGTCCGTGTCAGTCGGTCAGTGGCACCTCCCTCACCTGAGCTGCTCCGTGACGCTGAGCCTGTGGAAGTCGTCGGGCGCATTCTGGGGGTTCGGCTTGATGCACCTGCACCACACGGCCAACAGCAGAGAGATCAGAGGTTCACACCATTCCTTCGTATGGGTCCCCCCACGGCATTCAGGTGAGGTGGGTTTGGTGCAGTGCAGTGCCCACCTGATGAAGTGCGGCTCGGTGGTGTCGATCTTGTTCATGAGGTCGTTGAGCTGATCGCGGAACTCCGACGACACTGTCACCGGACGCTTGATGCCACGCCTGCACACCATACATATCACATCCATCCACACGAGCCCATTGATGTGTGCTGCGATGCGGTGCGCGTATGTCCCTCCCTCTCTCCCTCTCTATTGCTTCGTCGTCTCACTTTTTTGCCGGTTCGGGTGCCCCCCTGCCGCTGGACGACGAGGAGCCCTCGTCGACCTCCCCCCGATGCAGGTGCTCCCTGACAGACAGACATACGTCCACCCATCGAATGAACGCGACGATGGTATGGTGTGTCCCTCTCCCTCTCTCCCTCCCTCCGTCTGTCAGTTCTGTTGGTTACCTGAACAGTGAGGCGACGAATGGGTTGTTGGAGGTCTTGATGCACTCCTGGACGTCGGTTGAGAGGTGGTCCTTGTTCTTGTCGAGGAAGCTGTCGCTGCAGTAGTGCACGGGGCCGGCGAAGTGGTTGACCGTGAACCACGAGGGCTCCGTCTTGATGATGCCGAATCGCGGGTTCTCTGATGGAAAAATGAGTGGAGTGGACGCAGGGAGAGAGAGAGAGTGTGTGTGTGTGTGTGCTGTGTGAGCGGCTCGACTCGACTCACTTGCGTGTTGTTTGATGATTTTGTTGCAGAAGCCCCTGTCTGACCCCTGAGGCACCATGCACTCCTCGTCCAGCATCGAGAAGATACCCTGTCAGGATCCACACACAACACACACAAACACATTTGCATGTGACGTGCATCTCGTCTCCATGTTGGTTTGTCGTTCGGTGAGTGAGTGAGTAGCTGAGCTGAGCTGTGTGGCTGACCGTACGACACGTACCGTCCGTCTTTCCTGCAGCGTGTCGACGCAGTCCTGGTTGTCGGGGAAGTCCAGCGGGTCCCATGGGATGTTCTCCTTGCGGTAGAGCTCCTCCTCGCACTTGAACACGAACGTGTTGAAGAAATGCTGAAGACTGCAGGCAAAGCCACACATACCATCCATCCATGGCAGGCAAAGACAGACGGCAGCCAGCACATTGATTGACACGTGGGGATGGATGAATGGATGGATGGGGGTGGGTGCAGTGTGCACACCGTTCGTTTGTGAAGTTGATGCAGATCTGCTCGAACGAGTTGAGCTTGAAACACTCAAACCCAAAGATGTCCAACACGCCGCACCTGCACACACAAGAGACATACACACACAGACAGAGAGAGTGATTCCCGCCCTGCCCTGCCCCGCCCCGTCCTCGTCTGCGTGTGCGCGTGTGTGTTTTGATGGTCGGCCGAGCTTACATGAGTTTGACCGAGTCGTTGTAGCCGATGGAGATGTTGGTGCGGTGGACGATCCGCAGGAACAGCGAACCGTACAACGCCCGAGCCAACGCGTCACGGGCGTCCTCGGCCTCGTGGATGTTCAACGGCTTCCTGCACACACACAAATGGATGTGAGTCGACGCCCTGCTCTCTCATTTCCCCTCCTTCTGTGTTGTCTGTCTGTCTGTCTACTGACTGACATGTAGTTCTCGGTTTTGGTTCTGATGAGTCTGTAGCAGAGGGTCTCCTCGAGTGCGGCGGGCTGCACGCCCAGCAGCTCGCACGCACGACGCATGGCGTCCTGAGCGCCGGGGGCCACCTGAACACACACATACACCCACATATATATCTGCTGTGCCATATATGATGTTTGTTTGCCGTGACTGACGTTTCCACGCACCTCAGCGCCTTCAGAGTTGTCCTGTGGGTGTCTGAAGTATATGTTGCCCAGGTACAGGACCGCCCCCACCACACGGAAGATGTTCATCTGGTCCTCCACGTCTATGCCCACAGTCTGGTGGGTGGCATCACACACACATTCATCAAGCACAACACACTGTGTGTGTGTGTGTGTGTTGTGTCACTGACCTGCATGGCGTATACGGTGCGTTCGAACTGCTCGACGTCGTCGACGTTGTCCAGCTCGAAGCACGAGGACCGCGTGAGGTACATGAACTGGTCGTGGGACGCAAACGCACGCAGGTCCAGCGCCTCGGGACGCACGTCATCCTCCTGCACACCACAACACACACATCACCGCCCCGCACCGCCCACACAGACAGACAGAAAGAAAGAGCGTGTAAAGGTTGTCTGTCTTGTCTGATGGTGCGCGTGTTTCTCCTTCCGTGCGGTGACCGTGGCTTGCCTTGATGTATTGCGGGAAGTGGTAGGTGCCGTTGTCGTCACAGCCGCGCGACGCCGCGGCGCACAGCTGGTAGAAGATGTGGAAGTTGCGCTCGCCCTCCTGCTGGTCGCACACCCGCACCTTCTCCAGTAGGTAGGTGTGGATGCGCGCCCCGCACACCCTGCCCAACTCGCCGCCCCGCTCCCTGTCGCGCTCGAGCTTGAACTGCAGCTCGATGAACTTGCCAAACCGACTCGAGTTGTCATTGCGCAACGTCCTGATGGCACACCACACACACACACACACACACACATGGAATGAGGCAGAATGGTCCTTCGTCTTGTGTGATGCGATTGTATGGTGTGGTTGTGCGTGGACCACCCCAGCTACCTACCGTGCGTTGCCGAAGGCCTCGAGGAGTGGGTTGGACTCGAGGACCTGCTTCTCGACCTTTGAGCGCCTGCTCTCCTCTGGCGAGGCTGCGAGTGCGAGGAACTTCATGACGTGTTTGGTGGACTCGGTCTTGCCGGCGCCAGACTCGCCGCTGATGAGGATGGTCTGACTCCTCTTGCGCTCGCAGATGCCACGGTACGCCGCGTTGGCCGTCGCAAACACGTGGGGAGCCCTCGACGGCTTCACGGCTGTGTAACGCTTCAGCGTCTTATATGATCACCCAGGCGACAGACAGACACATGGATGGATGGGTGAACAAGCGCACACACAAACACGTGGTCTGCCTCCCTCCCTCCCTCCCTCCCTCGCGTATGTGTATGTGTATGTGTGTGTGTCGTGTTGTCGTGTTGTCGTGCGGTTGGGTGTTTTGTTGTCTAGTTAGTTACCTGGAATTCGTACATGCCAGTGATGTACTTGAAAGGGTTGACGGCGATGAGTATGGGTCCGGTGAAGGTGTAGATCTTGTCGATGTCGAAGCGCACGTTGAGTGAGTGCAGCACCGCCGCCTCGTGCAGGTGCATCAGCTGGGTGAGGTCGTCCAGACCCACCAGCCCTTCGCTCGAGAACAGCTCATCGTTGCGGAGGTGGACGGGCTTGCCGATGGGCAGCGCCACCGTGGTCTCGTCCTCGGTGCGGATCTTGATGCTGTTGCTGCCGATCTCCACGATCTCCCCCTTCTGCCACACGCTCTCCTTGTCCGGGATCCATACCAGCGTACCCTCGGCGTACCGCACCATTTTAAACGACCAACAGCACTGCACCAAAACTGCCGATTGCTGGCCTACTGTGGGATGCCGCTTGCGGTGCTGATGCCGCTCTCTGTCCGCTCCCTGCTGCTCGTGTCAGCCAGTGACGTCAAAAGGTAAGGTTGTTGGTGCGATTGAAAGGCCTGCTATATCTTATCGAGCACATCCGCCACGATGCCAGCGGACAGCGCTGCCTCTTGACTACTCCCTGGCGGCCCTCGCCCGGGGGAAGTCAACCAAAACCCGCGATCGGCAACAAGCTCGCAATTAAGCCCAGACCCTAAGCCCTAAACCCTTCTGCGGAAACCAGGACATTTGACGAAGAGATCTGCCGTGGTTTTTCATCGATGTCATGACTCATGAGCGAAGCAGGAGCAGCAGAGGGCCGTCCGCATCATGTGCTGCTTGCTGTGACGGGCAGCGTGGCCACCATCAAGCTCAAGGAGGTCATAGATCAGCTGCACCTCCAGGCCAAAGGCAAGCTGCCCAGGGGAATTGAGGTAACCGACACGCTGGTGGCGAAACACTGCAGCGGCATGCATTCTGATCAAGCTGATGGTTGTGTTTGGGCCTGCCTGTTTTGGTGTCGTGTGTGTAGGTGAGGACGGTTGCGTCGAGGTGTGCGCTTCATTTTGTGAAGGACGAGTGGCGTGACTCGTCGTTCATGACAGACGCGGACGAGTGGAGCAGCTGGTCGGCCAAGGGAGACCCCGTCCTGCACATCGAGGTCGGCTGCCGGGACTCACACACACACACACACACACACACCTGCACACATGGACAGACACAGTTTTTATCTCTGTGTGGCTGTGTGCTCTCTGGCTGTCTGTCTGTATGGGTGCAGCTCCGTCGTTGGGCAGATGTGTTTGTGATAGCTCCCCTCAGCGCCAACACGCTCGCCAAACTCGCCAATGGACTTTGCGACAACCTCATCGTGAGCACTGCATTGGACGCCCTGCAACACACACACACACGAGGGTGCCGGATTCATTGGCTTCTCTGGGACTGTCTGTGTGTGCCTTTAGACGTGTGTCGCGCGAGCGTGGGACCCCAAGCGGCCCTTCTTGGTCAGTCAATCAATCACGATGATCCCTCCACCATGCTCTATCCCGGCATCGCCTACATCGTTGATGCGATGGATGCGTCTGTTTGTCTTGTCTGTGTGGTGTGTGCACATCCCTCAGGTGTTTCCAGCAATGAACACGTTGATGTGGGAGCATCCCTTCACCGAGCGGCACATCACCCACCTGCGGGACCTCGGTGTTCAGGTCATACCACCCGTCTCAAAGGCACTCGCGTGCGGCGATGTCGGTAAGTCTGTGATGTGACGTGACGCTCACTGACCTGACAACCAACGACTCACAATCACAATCTCACACACACAAGGAAGGAATGGCCGCGGATTGTGTGTGCACCTCCCTGCTAATGTGTGTGTGTATTGTGGTATGGGTGGTGGTGTGGTGTGTGTAGGTACGGGTGCGCTTCCGCCGCCGGAAGATGTGGCGGCGAGGGTCATCAGCTGCCTGCCTCTGCAGGAATCAAGAGCAACGCCTGACTGACTGACTGAGTGACGTAACTGAGCTGGCCGAGCCCAGGTGGAGTTGCGTTGCATGTCATGTGCCAAGGGTTGTGCAGTCAGTGAGTGAGTGTACAGTTTCGCATTTTCGGTAAGCATGTGTTGTGTTGGTCCATCCGTTTATCTCTCTGTCGACCGACCGGTGTGGGCTTCTTTCGTTCGATGTCGGTATAGATAGGCCTTCGAGTGGCTGCTCTGAACGTCGTCACATCCCACTCTGCCAGGTTGAGATGCGGCACCGGCCAGGGCAGTCAGCGACAGAGGCAGATCCCGCACGAACAGTGGAGCTCTTTTGTTTGCGGTAGCAAGGGGCATTGCATTGCATCGTCTCAGCCAGGACACATCGTGTGATTACTTCTGTACGTCTCCTCTCCGGCACATAAATCGATGAACGAGCCGAGTCGTTGTCGATTTATGTGTGGGAGACGACACGACACAGAGCCCATCACATGACATGGTCGCAGGCAGACGCACGAAGAGTGAGTGAGTCGAGTCGGGTATGTCAGTCAGGTCAGCGTTTTGCTGCGACTCCTTCCCTTGTCGTGCAGGCTGTAGCCGTGGACACACTGACTGCAACAACACCGGACGGACACAAATGACTGTTGGTCGGTCATGAAAGGTCCTCCTTTGTTCCACGTGACGTGCACCGCGCCCGGCCACCCGCCGGACCCAGGCTGTCTAGTCTCTGTCTGGCAGACAGACAGAGCACTTTCTCTCACCCTCACTCTCTCAGCTGAGCTGCATCTCATCTGGCGGCACCGCACCGCACGGTATGAAGAATGTGATCAAGACAGACAACACATTACAGCACTTAGCCAGCCAAAGGGACGCCATAAAAGAACTCCATCCATCCGCGACACCAAAAGTAACTGCCGGACGGCAACTAAGGCAGCAGACATGAGCTTTGCTGGCAAATTACCGACAGACAGACGCACGAAAATAAGTAAAGGGCTGCGGGTTGGTGCGAAAGATACAGCGTGCCGTGCCGTGCGATGCGCCATCCATCCACTGACTCAAGCCATTGATAGATAATCAATACACCCGCGGCAGGTTCTGGTCGGGTGGGGGCTCCTGTGGCTTGCTGCCGAACCAGGTGGTCAACGCATTCGATATCTGTCAGTCAACGGGAAAGGAAACAGCCACACCAATCATCACAAGCATCACATCACATCACGGCAGCCGTGTGTCGGTTTCTCTCTCTGCGTGAGCTGAGCGTGTGTCTGACTTACGTCATCTCCGAGTCTCTGCATGCCCTGGTTCATGGTGGACTGCAGCTCCACCAGGGACCGGTAGAACACCGGCGCAGACGACGCCTGGTTGTCAATGTACCTGCCGTCCAGCCAGCCACACGCTCATTCTTGCACATATATCTTCTCAGCCTTAATGATCGGGCGCGTTGGTTGCACACCACACCTACCTGGCGTACATGTCCTCGACGTTCTCGAGGTCGACTTCAGCCTTCCACAGCAGCTGGTCGAGGGCCTTGGTCACCGCCTTGGTGCTGGCACTGACGCCGCTGCTGCTGCCGGACCGGCGTGTGGGCGACGAGGGGCCGTCGACGCTGCTGCTCGAGGGGCGGGACGAACCAACACCCACACTCTCCTCATCCTACACCACAGCCGATGGGCACGGGTGAATGTGTGTGTGTGTGTGGGTGTTGGTGTCGGTTGGCTGACGGAGTGGTGCCTAGCCTACCCCATCTGTGTTGGCCGTGAGTGCGTCGGTCTCATTGGCCTGACGCACCATGTGCACAAACGCACAAACGTGAGCAGATGCTCCACTGGGTTGTGTCCTGCTTGCCTCTTCCACCCACCCTCTGGTGCTGTGCAGGGGGGGCACCGTTGCCACCGCCATTGGCCGTTCGCAACGCTTCACGAACCATAAACCCGATAGGAGGACAGAAACATTTGCCTCGTCTGGATTGGTCTGGTGTGGTGTGGTGTTTGTGAGTGGTAAGGTAACGTACCGACGAGGTCGTTTCTCGCCTGCTGCAGCAGTTTGGTGACCTCATCGGCGAGCTGCGTCATCCTGAAGGACTCCATCTCCTCATCCTCCATCGCTGACACATCCTCGTACACACTCGCATACGCAGGACCCTACACACGTACACGTATTAGTGAGTGAGTGAGTGAGTGACACACACACGGACGACACGACGGATAAATGAAGAATGGGTGGGCATGTGTGTCTTGGTTGTGTGTGGCTGTGTGTCTGTGTGTGCGTGTGTGTGTGTGTCGTGCGCACCACGCCGGCGAGTACGGAAATGTCCAGCTCAGGCTGCCCGGCGCTGTGGCGGTCGATGCGGCATATCTGCCCTTGCACGATCTTCAGACGGTCAGACAGGCGATCCAGTTTCCTGACGTTCACACGGACACACACATTCGTCAACTCAACAAGGGTGTCAGTCATATCAGTCATGGCATGGATGCAGGCAGCCGTATGTGTACTTTTCGAGCTGGTCAGGTGTGTTGGATGCGATCTCGATGCACTCGTCAAGCGTCAGCTGGCCCTACACACACACACACACGCACACACACACACACAGAGAGAGAGAGAGAGAGAGAGAAAGGTACAGGCTTTATCTATCCCCGATGATGTATTATGATGCGATGTGTGATAGTCCACCCACTTACCCTTTCCTTGACTTCGGGCAGCTGTGAGAGTTTGATGCTGACCTCGTTCTTCTCTAACGCACGCCTGCACACACATTTACACACACACATCCACATGGATGATGGCTGGCCGACACGGCGTGTATATGCAAGGCTGTGCCGCACCTGAATCGTCTCGAGTGCTGCAGCAGCTGCTCCTTGGATATCTCCTTCCCCTTGGCGCGATACATCAGCGCCTGGCGGATGAACGGGATGGATGGATGGATGAATGGATGGATGCCGCGTCTGTCTCCCTGTCTGTGCCTCTGTCTGTCTGTGTGTCTGTCTGTCTGTCTGTCTGTGTGTTAGTGTTAGTGTGTGTGTGTACCTTGAGTCCCGTGACCCAGTGGTCGAACTCAAATTCGTCCTTGCACGTCAGATCCAGTGTCTTGGACGCCTGTGGGCCGTACATTACCTGCACACCATACAGGCGTCCAGTCACCACACACACATACACACACACACACAGACTGTGTGTCGGCCGTCGTGCTGTGGTGCCGTCCATGCATGGTGTCCGGCCCGGCCCACCGACCGACCGAGAATGAGAGGTGTTCGAGTAGGGGCAGCTTGTAGTGCAGGAAGGTCTGCGTCGTCTGACCCAGACGCAGCTCCTTGATGTCGTCGATGGTGACTGATAGATACGCACATAGCACATACACAGCGCACCAGCGACACCCAGCCAGCCAATGTGATGTGATGTGATGTGCAGCACCAAACCAGAGTGGCGCCAATCGTGCCCTGTCCCTGACCAAGGCCCCGCCACTCACCGAGTGACTCAGCCTTGGATTTGGCGCCCGAGTACCAGTGCAGTCTGTTCATGTCGTTGCTGAGCTGGAACTGACGCAAGTGCGGGTAGCCGTAGCGCGTGTGCTTCAGCAGATTCGTCCCTGATCGGTCGATAGGTGTATATTATTAGAGAGAGAGTGAGACAGAGATGGTGTCCACACATCTGTTCTGTCTGTGCTCTGGTCTGCCTGTGTGCTGTGCCGTCCCTGACTGGACTGACCGACCTCTTTTCATCCTGTCGATGGCCTTTTGCGACTCCACGTGCAGCACTGGCTCGATCGTCACCTTCAAACGACGCCAGCGGTCACCTGCATACACACCACACAACGGGAGAAACACATACGTCACCGTGCGCACACTGCCTGCCTCCCTTTCTGGACTTACCGGTGATGTTGTCTAGGTCTTTCCTCTCCTCCCCCTCCACCAGCAGGTACACCTTGCCGTCCACCAGCCGGTCGAACTCCTCAAAGTGGTACGCATCCTCACCCAACACGTACGGCGACCTCCTGGGCGAACCATCGTCTGGCGCGTCTTCTTTGGTACCCAGCACCTCTCGCAAAACGAACCCTGCACCGCACCAATGGTGAATGAGTCGTGCGTGCGTGTGTGTGGGTCAATCGATGAGGTGTGTGGTGTTGTGTTGTGTTGCGGACCGACCCGCATCCATCATGGCGTCACACGCGCAGAGAATGGCCTCCTTGACGTCGGTCAGGGGCGTGTCGGTGAACCAGCTCACGGGCGTCTCCTCCCCCTACACACAAGTAAACGCGCAGACACACAGACAGACATTCACTCTCCATGACTCTTGGGTGAGCGCTATGGGTTCGGTTTGACATACCTTGTGTATGACGAAAATGGTCTTCTTTTGGTGCTCCTCGAGGTCGTTGGGGTCCACTGCAGCGGCCGGCCGACACATGCCGTCCTCACCCACATGAGACGCACGCCAGTCCTACACACACATCGCACACCACAATAAGGCGGACCACCATCCTCACATCCATCCATCCACCAGCGCATTCATCCTCGCAGCCCCCCTTTTGCCCACCTTCTGCGGCTCCTCGTCTTTGAGTATCTCAGCGCATGGGTTGTCATCCTCAGTCTCGACGAGCGGCGCACTCGGCGAGGCGGCGTCGTTGACGAGGGCGTTGCGCAGCGAGAAGCCTTGAGTGGTCGCAGGGGGAGGGGGCGGCCGCGACGGGGGCGCAGAGGCTGTGGAAGGAGGTACTGCCTCCTGGGAACCACCTTCACCCTTCTTGCCTCCGAGCACGTCTGCGCATGCACATGCACACGCGCCATCACATGTACATGACGGCGAGTGAGTGAATGAAATGTGATACTGACACCTCTCTTGCTGGCCGACCCAGTTCGTTGTCTGAGAAGACAATGAGGCCCGAGAACTTGTCAATCCGCGTCTGCTCCGGCCTCCATGCCCTCTCGAAGTCACCCAGCAGGCCGCTCGGAGGCGCCTCGCCCTCGTCCCCTGAACCCTCCCCTTTCGGATGCTCCTCCCTGTCAGCGAATGGCTCAATGGTTTCGCTCGCGGGCTGCTTGAATGGGTCGTCGCTCTGCGACGGGACAGTGTCCACTGTTGGCTGTCTCGCCACCTCTCGCGAGGTCGTCTGCGGCCCTGTGTGCGCACATTAGAGAAAACGATGAGAGAGAGAAGGAACCAAACTGGTCTGCGGCAATATCGTGCTGTGCTTACAGCTTTGGTCATCAGTTGCCGGTTTGGCTGCAGCAGCTGAGTCTGGTGCAGACTGAAACTCATTCCAGGCATCTGTCATCAGAGAAGCAGGGCAAGCGAAGGGAGACGACGTGTAGGGAGGAGGGGTGCGGGAGGCATATAGATCTGCCTGCCTCTTCCTTGTGCATGCAAGACTGTCCCGTCACGTAAGTCACGGCCTCTCTGCTTCCCTGCTGCACTCACCAAAATTGGCCCAGCTCTCCCCTTGATCCGAACTCGACATGGCGACAACGAGATCACTGCAAAGCACCCTCCGCTCCTTCCCGTGAGCCCACGAACACGCGATTTGGCTTGCCTCCGTTCGCCGATCACATTTGCGAGCTTTCATTCCAGAATTTGAGGTCATGGCAGCATCGCAGCCGCTCGTCGAGATCACCTCACTCGCTGCCACGAGTGCATCTGGCGTCCCAAAGCAGGAATCGCCCACAGGAGCCGCCGATGCCACCGCTGCAGCATCCCACCCAGCAGCCATGGCGAGCAGTGAGTTGATTGGCATCCTGACGGATCTGGGTCAGTTCCCCTTCATCAACCCCGAGTCGATATCGACTGTCATCGACACGGACCGTCGGCTTCACGAGGAGCTGGAGGCGTGTGAGCGGAGGCAGAGGGAGGTGTGGGATGAGCACCTCCGGCGGTTCCAGGCCGTCAAGGCGGCTGGGCGTGACGTGGAGTTCGGCGACTACCGACGCGACGACATAGAGCAGCTCGAGGAGCTGGAGCAGATGAAGACACGCATCAACAACTACCAACGCCAGAGGCTGTACATCATCCATGGGCTGCTCGACGAGGTACGAAGGGATGCAACCACACACTCACGCAGCGCAGGCTCTCGCAGAACACACAACACAACACCCTGTGTGTGTGTGTGTGTGTGTGTCCGCTTGCCGTTCTTCTTCTCAGTTAACGAGGAGAGTTCGCGACCTGAACGCCCGCATGAATCTTCATCCCTATGGCGACGGCCAAGGTGACTCATCCCACACAATGCATGTGTGCATGCAAGCATCCAGCCAGCCAGCCAGCCAGCCAGTCAGGCAGCTATTGAGGCAGTGAGGCAGGAAGGTAGGAAGCAAGGTAGGTTGGCGGGGCGGGCGGGCGCATGGGTCTCCCCTCTTGAAGGCTTGATTCCCCCAGCTATGGGCGGTGCCATGGAGCGACGCTATCATCGACACCACGGCGAGCCGGGACGGCTGCACAGGAGGAAAAAGAGGGACAAACACGACAGGGATGGGGATGACCGCCACGAGAGGGACAGGGAGAGGGGGCATCGGTGGAGCAGAAGGGGTGGTGACCACAAGGGAGGGAGGGCCCTGCCGCCACAACCGTAAGCACATCGACTTACACAGGCCGCCGGCACGTTCTGAACTTTTTTTGTCTGGCCGTGCGGGTGTGTTGGGGGTTTCTGTTTAGGGCCGGTGAGGGGGACCAGAGGTCGGGTGGCGCCGCACAGCCAGAGCCGCTATACTGCTTCTGCCAAAAGGTGACAAGAACATCGAAGACATTCAAGACCGATCAAGTAACGTCCGTGTGTGTGTGCAGCCGTCTGAGGGCAACATGATCCAGTGCGAGAAAGTCGACGTGCGTCAAGCCACACACACACACACACACAGCAGCCTCACAGCAGGAGTAGACTGTGTCCTTGTGCGTGTGTGTGTCGTCAGTGTAAGTTTGGTGAGTGGTTTCACTTCTCGTGTGTTGGGGTGGAGGTCGCACCCGACGAGAACTCCCAGTGGTAGCCCAGCCGCACACCAAACCGTAGAGGACAGTCCTCCTTCATCCATTCACCTTGTGTATGTGTGCTGTGCAGGTATTGCCCCGGCTGCACCAAGGATCCAGCGTACAAGGACAAGTGGGAGGCCGCCCTGAAGCGCCTCGAGGCCGCCAAGGCGCCGCCCTACCAGCTCGATTCGCAGCAGACCCAACAACAGCAGCAACAGCCACAGCCACAGCCACAGCAGCAGCCCCCCGGGGCGGGCACGGACGGCGTGCAGCCCAAGCCAGAGGAGGAGCCTGCAGAGATGGATGTAGATGTGGATGTGGACGTTGTGCCGATGAGTGAGGAGCCCAAAGACAAAGATGGAGAGGCCATGGCGGCTGAGGCGCCACCACCAGCTGGGAGTGAGTGAGAGACGAGAGAAAGGGGCGGGTGCGTGTGTACAGGATTGCGTCGCGCGCGCTATGTTCGATCATGGATCATTGAGAGACTGTTGTCCGTCCGGGAACGGTCAATATCGAGCTGGCTGTCCGCGTGTTGCTCGTCCATAAGTTGACAGACTCAGGCAGGCAGAGTGCGGTCAGTGTGGATTTGGGACAATGCATTGAACCGGGTGCACGAAAAGACGATTCGGCGTGGCGCGGCAACAAGCCGCTAGCTTGCGGCGAGAAATCGCAACGAGAATTTACACGAGACGATTCTTGAAAGATGAAACCGACACTTTCCAGCCACCTCTTCTCATTTCTCACTGCTCGCCTCGTCGCTCCTCCCTTTCTTCTCACCTTTCGGCGGGAGTGGTCGGGCGCCACCTGCCCGAGGCCCACGCAGCCCCCACTACTCGCCATTTCAAAGCTTGTTTCAAGAAGAGGAGGAGTCCAGCTGACCGCCCCTGACCCGGGGCACGCAGTGTGACGAAGCGCCCTGGACGTGCGGGGATGACAGCGGTGTGGCGCAAAGTGAGGTACGTCGGGGCAAAACACTGTCAGGAAGAGAGGACCTGGTGTGCCCATCGATGGGCTCACATGGTGGCTGTTCCTTACGTTGTCTTCAGCACCCTTCATCTTTCAGTACTGAATATGCCACTTCCTGGGTAACTTTTAAGTTATTGAGAGCGAATTCTCGCCTGAAGACGAGACGACAACGCGTCTCTGTCCTCACGCATGCCGTCGTCCGGCATGCACGACGAGGACTCCTGCCCTGCCGCCCTCCACGCCGCCTTCCACAAGGCCGCCGCTTTCAAGGGCCTGAAAGCGCACATCATCACCAGCGACTCCCAGGCCTTCCGCGTGCTCGCGGGGCCCTTTCGTGTTGCGGGAGGGGGCAAATACTACGTCCAAGCCGAGGTGCGCCGCCAACGGGAGAGCTGGGATTTTCGGGGGCTGCGGTTGAAGGTCAAGCGGGCGAGGAAGAGGGCGGGCCAGCCACCCGACATGCGACACAACCACTACGTCGACATTGAAGGGTTTCGGGTGCTAGAGGGAGGGAGGGAGGGGACATCAGCAGCTACCGGAGATCGCCATGCCCTCCCAGTGCGCAAGGACGGTCAGACCCGCAGCCGCCAGCCACCGTCTTCGTCTGATGATGAGAACCAGCTGCTAGCAACGAGGCCGTCAGCGGGAGGCCTCGTGCAGAAGGTGAGAAGAAGGCACATCGACACACACAAGAACTGGGTGGTGCGCCAAGTGCATGTCTGCTCCTCTGATACGTGACTTGCTCGCCAATGAGTGACTGCAGGCACACACTGAGGGCCGGCTACTGGAAGAGGAAGGTCAGAAGGGCTGGAAAAGACGGGCAGCGTGGCACGGGCGGATGGAGGGATGGAGGAACAGTGAGGCCAAACTTTGTTTGTTTGTTTGTTTGTTTGTGTGGTGCAGAGAAGGAGACTCAGTGTGAGACGGCTGGGAGAAAGCGGCAGCGGAAGGCCGAGGGCTCAACAGGCAGCTGCGACGTCGACTGACTTCTCTTCAAGATGCTCAGGTCACATCAAACAAACCGACCAGACACCGACAAACCGACCTGCAACCATGATTGTTGTCTCCACTTGTTGTGTGTGCTGCACTGCAGGGCCATCGGA